ATAGTCACGTTTGGAATTACGAATGGCGTTTATACAAGAATTTCTGAATTTTCTAAATTTTGCCCAGTCGTCTACTTTACCAGAATGCTTAGCTTTTCGATGAAGGTAATGCAATTTGTTTAAACTATCATAGAGTCAAGGTAAATTTTGAGACCCCTTTATCTGTATCTTTATTCTTATGGCCTTTTCTAAGCATATCGCCGATCGGGGTTAAATTATTATTCTTATCCAAACGCGATGAAATTCCTTCGTGTATCGATCTCAATCTTTGTTCTGAAGTGTTTTGATGCATTACAACAAAATATATTAAAAATACATAGGACCCCAAATCAGCGGAAAACTATGAAGTGTTTCTATCAATAATAGGTCTTGATATAGTTGCTTCTCATATCGTTGAAGGAAGGACCATTTCATACAAAATTGAATTCTTTCACCACATCATTTTTATTCAAATTAACAAAGTCTTAAAGAACACATTTATATTCGGTATCTTCTGATTCAATTAAAAATTGTATGACGACATCATTTTCCATCATTCGTCTGTAGGTAGTGTAGAGTTTCTTATTTAGAAAAATGGTTACAAACGTAAGGGATAATCAACATCATTATTAAGTATGCTGCTAAATACGTGTACAGATATTTTGTTTTCATCTGAACCTCATCCGTCAGCTTTAATGAGTGAATTATGTTGTACCTTCCCTGTAGAGAGATGTTCGATTGCACAGACAGATATGAGAGAAGGAGAGTTTGGATATTTTCGATATCGGAAACCCTATTGCTTGCCAATAATATGTAGCTTTTTTGATAGATTGATATAACAGTGTTTAAAATTTCTACTCATACTGGGTTCAGTGAAACCTCCTGTGTCATTGTCCAGTAATATACGGCAGAATAACATTATCTGTGCGTATGAATTCATGTTAAATCTCACAGTGTATTATTTTATTTTGTTTTATTTTGTTTTGTATATGTTCATGCATACCATTTTTGGAAAACCATAAAGAACTTACATTATATGTTTACACAAAGCTTTTGTGCAATACATTTTGTTCAGAATGATTTATTTCAAACATAGTTCATGACAAGGACCATTCAAGACGTACTTTATTAAAAAATCTAGTTTACATAAGATTCATTTGCCTCTTAGGGAGCTTGCCTTGTATGGAACTTGGTAATGTTTCCCTCTTTTTCATGTTTGGTGGCCTCTTGTGAGCCCTCTTACACTGGCTAATGAATTCTTATAGCATGCACGATGAAGTAAACGAAGACGCTTACCCTTCCAGATCACCTGGTCTTTTTCTCCTTGTACTTTTCAAGGGTCACCATGTTAATCTTTCCTTTGCTCATATGTTGCCCTAGTTTTATCCATTCTGAGTTCGAAATATGGTTTTCGTTACAATTTGGTAACCCCCCCCCCCCTTTCCCTATGCGTAGGCATTGTCCAGTGTTACCTCGACTTAGTATTACACGTATTTATAACCAATAATACCTGATAAACTAACTTCCGGAGCAGTGCCCAAATAGCTTATAGTGTGTACCATCTCCCACGCTACTCATTAAAAAACCAAGATCGGCTGACATGTATGCTAAAGCACAGCTTGTGATGGATTTCTGACATGTATGCTAGAGCACAGCTTGTGATGGATTTCAGAAATGTATGCTAAAGCACAGCTTGGGATGGATTTCTGACATGTATGCTAGAGCACAGCTTGTGATGGATTTCAGACATGTATGCTAAATCACATCTTGCGATGGATTTCTGACATGTATGCTAGAGCACAGCTTGTGATGGATTTCAGACATGTATGCTAAAGCACAGCTTGCGGTGGATTTCTGACATGTATGCTAAAGCACATCTTGCGATGGATTTCTGACATGTATGCTAAAGCGCAGCTTGTGATGGATTTCTGACATGTATGCTAAATCACAGCTTGCGATGGATTTCTAACAGGATTTCTGACATGTATGCTAAAGCACAGCTTCCGATGGATTTCTGACATGTATGCTAAATCACACCATGCGATGGATTTCTGAAATGTATGCTAAAGCACAGCTTGTGATGGAATTCTGACATGTATTCTAAAGCACAGCTTGTGATGGATTTCAGACATGTATGCTAAAGCACAGCTTGCGATGGATTTCTGACATGTATGCTAAATCACATCTTGCGATGGATTTCTGACATGTATGTTAAAGCACATCTTGCGATGGTTTTCTGACATGTATGCTAAAGCAATAGCTTGCAATGGATTTCTGAAATGTATGCTAAAGCACAGCTTGTGATGGATTTCTGACATGTATTCTAAAGCGCAGCTTGTGATGGATTTCTGACATGTATGCTAAAGCACAGCTTGTAATGGATTTCTGACATGTATGCTAAAGCACAGCTTGTGATGGAATTCTGACATGTATTCTAAAGCACAGCTTGTGATGGATTTCTGACATGTATTTTAAAGCACAGCTTGTGATGGATTTCTGACATGTATGCTAAATCACAGCTTGCGATGGTTTTCTGACATGTATGCCTAAGCACAGCTTGTGATTGATTTCTGACATGTATGCTAAAGCACAGCTTGTGATTGATTTCTGACATGTATGCTAAAGCGCAGCTTGTGATGGATTTCAGACATGTATGCTAAAGCACATCATGCGATGGATTTCTGACATGTATGCTAAAGCGCAGCTTGTGATGGATTTCTGACATGTATGCTAAATCACATCTTGCGATGGATTTCTGACATGTATGCTAAAGCACAGCTTGCGATGGATTTCTGACATGTTTGCTAAAGCACAGCTTGTGATGGATTTCTGACAGTAAGATCACTTTTTTAGAAATCTGTTTTGAATTTGTGCTACTTTTTTCTCCGATTGTTATTAACTTAAATCTTTAAGATGATGACATATTTTGCTTCAATAGACACATATTATACCTGTTTCTCCTTGTAACTTAGGTGACACGATAGAGTCTCCTATATGAATCGATATTATCAATGTTATTGATATTTTGAACTGTTGAAGCGAATCGGTACGTTCTCATTAATATTGTAGCATGATGACAGGACCAGAACCTCTACTAGAATGAGACATTAGTCACACGTGGCTATCCTCCTGTCTGTCGTCACATATATCAAGTTTGTTTGTTTGGATCAATAGTTCATGCTTGATGATTTGGTCTTCTGCTCCAAAAGTCAGTGTTACCTAAAACGACGAATGAAATCATGGAACTGTGGTTCTTAAATAGCTCAATTACTATTCCCAAACTTTAATATATTGTGAAAACAATTCGTTTCGTGGGCATTTTAATTTCATTGATTTCGTGGGTTAACACTAATTCACTGGTCTACGAAGTAATTACAACTTTGATATGATGCGATTCTCCATTTGAATAGGAACTCACAATTCATGTACATACACCAACGCAATGGTGTTTTGTTGAGAAACAACGAAATTTCGGCCCGATTTTTTTTTTATCTTATTGCACATTTTATACGTAAATAAATCAGTGTGCAGATGTCCAATTTTCCTGTACATACATTTTTCTTTTTCAATAAGAAGGCTCCACCTTTTGGCAAATATCCAGCTGAATTCGTTGTAATTTTCATATAATGGTTATGCAGCCATGTAAAGATGGTTTTATGAAAATCTAAGCATTCCGACAGACTAGGGAGTTTTCGCCAATTTGATTATTTTCCATATCGGAACCAAAACGACGGTAAAAAATGAAGAGAAGCATCGCTAATTAACCCTACAACCAAATTCATTTACAACAAACATTTTCATACAGAAAGACTGGAAAATTGAACAAAGTATACACAATGGCTCTGTAATTAATTTATTTTACATTTAACAATCACTTTGATCGTGATGAGAGTTGTCTTCCCTGAAAAAGTTTTTGCAGAGGGATTAAATTCATGACATCAAAAGTGACAATTGTTTTTTGCTTTTTTTATGGAACGTAATTACTCTTAATCATGAACAATTTGGGCATCATTTCACCGTCCAAATAGCGCATGGCATATTTACATGTCAGGCACATATGTAACCAGATGCTATCGCACGGTATACCGTTCTCACGTGCAACACGCATGCATTTGCATAACGATCTTGATAAATAAACAAAAATTGCACAGAGTCAGTGCACTGTATTAGTGAGACTGATTTACTTTACCGAGCGAGCCTCGATCGAAAGCGAAAATCGAAATAATCTCGAGCTTATGAACTGATGAAAGCACGTGATATGTACATTATGAAGACGGTACACGAACACTTCAGTCCGCACTCCGTGAGCTTAACGCATTGCCTTCTTGAAGTCTTCTCATGTCAGTGTCTTCCTGTGAGTCAGTTTATGTCTTTGTAAATGCTCTAACCCATATCAGCCCTCGTCGTAGCACACCCAAAACCAGTATCAGCCCTCTCCGTATCGGCCCGCAAAACCCATATCTTTTGGATTTTTTTTTCATCTTTCAACATTTCAAAAGATAAATAGATCATAAGATAGTAGATCTATCCGTATTTTATTAGTTATTATGTAAAAAACACCAGAATAAAACATGCCTTTTTCCATATCAGCCAGATCCATAATATGTTTATATAGAGGAAGCTTTTTTTCTGAAGAACGGGTAATTACCTGTTCTACAGTAAAGTCTCGATATCGTCTGTTGTCATATCATCGCCACGCACGTGTACTATTGTTTACCCGGTGTAACTATTATTTACACTACGGTATTGAAATTCCCGATACGCAATAAGGAAAAGAGGACACGAAAACACAACAAGACAAAACATGTCTATTAACAAGGGTGGAAAGTCCTTAATCGATGTCTTTGGTTAAAATAACCGTTGAGGTGCTCAATAATTCAGAAGGCATAAGAATGTTTCCACTCTAGAAACGATGTTCGTCAGTGCGACGAAGGAGATTCAGTAATTAGCACACGCATCTTTAGGGTCCATAACATTGACTTGGATGTGAATGATACTCTTCACAGAAATCCGTCTCTGTAATGGCAAGCATTATACTAGGATACGTCACGGTGCTGGTTCTGCCCATGCTAGTATCATGTCAGACGTCCGACGATGTGAAATCTCTTCTCCACAGTGTATTCAACACAAACGCTTACAACAAGTGGGTGCGGCCCAGTGCTAACCAAACGACCAGAACAGATGTCACTCTCGACTTTTACCCTGTCGGTATCATCGCTGTTGACGAGGTGAATGGGAAAATGAGTACTATTGCATATCTATTCATTACATGGAATGACAACTACATTACTTGGTCACCTGATAGCTTTGGTGGTATTACAAAATTATACATACCTCAAAACTATATCTGGAAACCGGACATCGCACTCAACAACGGTTATACAAAGATGAAAGAGTTGGGCGATGCATTTATATTAACAGTTGTCAGGCATGACGGAGAAGTTGAATGGAAACCATATGAAATATTTCAAACAAAATGTATTATAGATATTTCTAACTTCCCGTTTGATAAACAGACCTGTAATGTAACGTTCGGTGTGTGGTCAAGTTTTATCAATGACGTTGATTTAAATTTCCAACTTGGAAAAAACACGATCGGTCTCGACACTTATCAGAACAATACCGAATGGGACATTATATCTACCGCAACAGATTCTCGAGATTCGTTTGCAGATGGAGCTAGCGTAACGTTTTCCCTAACCATAAGAAGACGACCAGAATACTATATGTACCATATTGTTGCCCCAGTGATGCTTCTGTCGATATTGGCGGTATTTACCTTTGCTTTGCCTGTAGAGAGTGGAGAGAAGATGGGATTTTGTATGACCGTGTATTTGGCATTCGCTGTCTTTCTGACTTTAGTAAGTGAATCCCTCCCCGTCAGCTCAACCCAGTCTTTGCTCAGCAGATACTTACTCGTTCTTGTATTGATGGGAACTGCGATTGTCATGGTTACGACGATTGAGTTACGAATCAACTACAGGGACACTGCTTTCTGCAGAATCCCACTTTTACTGAAAGGTCTGGTGCATATAAGCAGGAAGATTCAATGTCAACATCGTGGCAAGGTGTCAGATGAACAGCAAACCGAACAACACGACAGCCCACAGGACATACAAAAACGTGGTATCAAAGAACCCGCAGAAGAGTGTGATGGACATGGAAATGTGTCAGAAGGTATGACCTGGTCAGATGTCACCTCAGCCATTGACCTCTTCTGTTTCTGGATGTTCTTAGCGACAAACATCATCGCTACCTCCGTAATATTTGGCAGTGGGTATCAACAGTCAAAAACATGACATGGTGAGTTGACAAGATCTTTGTCATAAAAAACCACGTCATCATTTACAGCTGAGTAGACTGGAATAAACGGAGTAAAGTATTTTGCTCAAAACAGTGCCGTGCCGTGACTCGAGCCCGCAACCCTTCGGTCACGAGCACGGCGCCCTACCACTAGACTACCGTGTCCCCTTCATGTGATAACCAGGTGTACATATATTTCGAAATGCTGTTTTATTAATCGGGATTTTTGCTTCATTTTAACCATTATTTTATCTTGTTTTGTATTGTGAAGTTACCTAGAACAAAGAAACATCCTCAATATACGTTCACAAAAAAAATCAACCGAAAGACGATGCGACTGGAAAAACAGGGACCAAGACGTTGTAAAACACCAAACGAAAACTGGTTACGTTTATATCATGATTATATATTAATCTATAATCTGACTATTGACCTATTAAATCGTCATGTTATTATTGTGTATGGTTCCAATCTTATTTATAATAAGCATTTATGTTAAGTATCATTATTAGTTGTTAAATTTAATGGATATTGCTGTGTTAGATATCTTCTCATTTCAGACCTGTATTTAGCTCAGAACTACTTCTTTTTAAATTTATTCATCTCTTATTTTGATTTTGTGTATGTATTTATAACTCCTCGTTAATCAAATAAGCACAAATTAGGACGTGCGGTTTATTTGACCAGAGTTGCTTTTTGTTTTAATCCTCAAAACATATCCAACGATTAAAGGTTTATGGAATATGTTTTGTAGAACTTATATAAATGTCTTATTGTACAATTTTAATAATATATTAAAACTTGATGGCACGGTTTATCTTAATATCAAAAGGATGCGCCCGATCCGTTTGGTTAACCACGTGATAAAATCTTGGTTGTTGATTGGCCATATATATGTTTCACCTCCATACCCTGATTGGACATTTGCATTAGTAATCTGATTGGATACAAGAAGTTATATTGCATGTGAATGTAAATTTTTTTAACGGACACCATCATCTTTGTTTTGTTACTTGTCGCTGCTAGATGACTTTCGTCAGTCAACATTGTACAACACAAGATAATTGTTTTCCCCTGATAAGATACACTGTGATCCCAACGTTACATTGCTATGGAAAGTGTAATGAATGACTTCGTCTTCGATTCATGCTCAATCGATATATTGACAAGATATATAATAATGAGTGTCACACTTGGTAAATATATTTCACCTTTATTTCCGTTTTATTTCAGTTACTGTAGCATTTTGTTGTTACATTTTATATTGTTGTTTGTCTTGACAATTCCGGTTTTGTCATTTCAGTTCTTCTTTTATTTGTTCCCGTTACTTTTTTCAGCTTTTGTTTTTATCTTTGTAGTTACTGTTGTTGAATGTTGCTGCTGCTGCTGACGTTTCAGTTACTTTTTCGGCTTCTGTTTTTATCTTTGTAGTTACTGTTGTTGAATGTTGTTGTTGCTGCTGACGTTTCAGTTCCTTTTTCAGCTTCTGTTTTTATCTTTGTAGTTATTGTTGTTGAATGTTGTTGTTGCTGCTGACGTTTCAGTTCCTTTTTCAGCTTCTGTTTTTATCTTTGTAGTTACTGTTGTTGAATGTTGTTGCTGCTGCTGACGTTTCAGTTCCTTTTTCAGCTTCTGTTTTTATCTTTGTAGTTACTGCTGTTGAATGTTGTTGTTGCTGCTGCTGACGTTTCATGTCCTTTTTTCAGCTTCTGTTTTTATCTTTGTAGTTACTGTTGTTGAATGTTGTTTCTGCTGCTGACGTTTCAGTTCCCTTTTCAGCTTCTGTTTTTATCTTTGTACTTACTGTTGTTGAATGTTGTTTCTGCTGCTGACGTTTCAGTTCCTTTTTCCGCTTCTGTTTTTATCTTTGTACTTACTGTTGTTGAATGTTGTTTCTGCTGCTGACGTTTCAGTTCCTTTTTCCGCTTCTGTTTTTATCTTTGTAGTTACTGTTGTTGAATGTTGTTTCTGCTGCTGACGTTTCAGTTCCTTTTTCCGCTTCTGTTTTTATCTTTGTACTTACTGTTGTTGAATGTTGTTGCGGCTGCTGACGTTTCAGTTCCTTTTTCAGCTTCTGTTTTTATCTTTGTAGTTACTGTTGTTGAATGTTGTTGTTGCTGCTGCTGACGTTCCAGGTCCTTTTTTCAGCTTCTGTTTTTATCTTTGTAGTAACTGTTGTTGCATGTTGTTGCTGTTGCTGGTGTTTTAGTTCCTTTTTCAGCTTCTGTTTTTTTCTTTGTAGTTACTGATGCTGAATGTTGTTGCTGTTGCTGGTGTTTTAGTTCCTTTTTCAGCTTCTGTTTTTATCTGTGTAGTTGCTGTTGAATGTTGTTGGTGCGGCTGACGTTTCAGGTCCTTGTTCAGCTTCTGTTTTTATTTTTGTAGTTTCTGTTGTTGAATGTTGTTTCTTTTACTGGTGTTTCAGTTCCTTTTTCATCTTCTGTTTTTATCTTTGTAGTTACTGTTGTTGAATGTTGTTGTTGCTGCTGCTGACGTTTCAGTTACTTTTGGTGATTTCAGCTCATGTACTTTTTATTAACATATTTGCCTTTTTCAGCTCTCGTTGATGCCATTTCAGTAACTGTCATAGTCTTTACAGAGCTATTTTTTTGAGTTCCTTTAGCTGTTTTTTAGTTATTGTTACTGTCTGTTTAGTTGTTGTTGTTGTTGTTTCTCACTCAAAGCTCAGGTTTCATTCATAAGATAATAACGCACCTTCTTATCTATCTAATATTTGAGCATTAGGGCCATGTAGACGAAAAATCGTTTTGTCGTGTTAAGAACTCCAAACATCTTCTTCATAACTCGAAATGTCGACTTACTAACTCAAAATTGCAAGATATAACATCGAATTGTCGACTTAATAACTCGAATAAGTAAGTCAAAATGTCGAGTTATTAACACGAAAAAAGGAACGTTTTCTTTTACATGGCCCCAATGCTCTTCCGTAGATATGCATTTAAGCTTAATGCTATTATCGATCTAACCCTGACATTACAATCAATAGACAGAAAACCTTCAAGCTTTACAGTGAATGCCTTGGGTGCTTCAATCTATTTGTTTTGAATGTCCTTGGTGTCTCTAACAAAATTGTTTTCGGATAAAGGATTTTATTTGTGTCGCTTGAAGCAGTTGACGAACAAGCTCGTTTCACACATTTGGCGACTGCACAATGCGTGTCAACACGTATTTGGTAACTCCACGTTTCGCGGGAAAAATCTATAAACGTTAACTACACATGAATTAGTAATTTACCCTGATTTGTTGGGGGTTTAATGTCCTCGCGACAGTTACGATAATACAAATACAGCCTTAGGAGAAAGTAGGCTATACTTTATATGCTGTGTATATGTACTTTGAGATGAGTGCTATGTCGATTTACGTTTGTCGATGTCAAACCGCTGCTATATGTCGATGCTTGCTATCTAAATGTGACTTCATATTGTGTTTTTTCGCTGAATGATATGTCAGAGTGTGTAATGTCGATGTAAGCTACTTGTATGTCGATGTATTGTAAGAAAAATATGCAATACCGGAGTATCTATGTCGATGTTTGTGATGTCGGAGTATGTAATGTTGGAGTATGTTATGTCAGAGTAAGTTATGATGGAGTATGTTATGTTGGAGTATATAATGTGGAAGTATGTTATGTTGGGGTATGTTATGTTGGAGTATGTTATGTTGGAAGTATGTTATGTTGGAGTATGTTATGTTGGAGTATGTTATGTTGGAAACATGTTATGTTGGAGTATGTTATGTTGGAGTATGTTATGTTGGAGTAGGTAGCATCTATGTTGGAGTATGTTATGTTGGAGTATATAATGTTGGAGAATGCTATGTTGGAGTATGTTATGTTGGAGTATGTTATATTGGAGTATATAATGTTGGAGTATGCTATGTTTGAGTATGTTATGTTGGAGTATGTTATGTGGGAGTATGGTATGTCGATGTATGTTATATTGGAGTATATTATGTTGGAGTATGTTATGTTGGAGTATGTTATGTTGGAGTACGTACAATTTATATTGGAGTATGTTATGTTGGAGTATATTATGTTGGAGTTTGTTATGTTGGAGTATTGTATGTTGGAGTATGTGATGATGGAGTATGTTATGTTGGAGTATGTTATGTCAGAGTAAGTTATGTTGGAGTATGTTATGTTGGAGTATGTTATGTTGGAGTATATTATGCTGAAGTATGTTATGTTGGAGTATATAATGTTGGAGTATGTTATGTTGGAGTATGCTATGTTGGAGTATATAATGTTGGAGTATGATATGTTGGAGTATGTTATGTTGGAGTATGTTATGTTGGAGTATGTTATGTTGGAATATGCTATGTTGGAATATGCTATGTTGGAGTATATAATGTTGGAGTATGATATGTTGGAGTATGCTATGTTGGAGTATGTTATGTTGGAGTATGTTATGTTGAAGTATTTATGTCGATGTATGTTATGTCGATGTGTTTCATTTAAATGTTGCTTTGGTGCATTAATATCGTTGTATGTTATGGAATATTTCAATCGATTTATAGTATGACGTCAGGATATGTTATGTCGGAGTATGTTATGTCGATGTATGTTATGTCGATGTATAGTTAGTGAAGTTATATTTATGTCGATGTATGCTATGTCAATGCATGTTATGTTGAAGGCAGCTATGACGATGTATGCTATGTTAGAATACATTAATTCGGAGTATGTCAGGTCGATGTAAAGAATGTTGGTGTTCGTTATACAATGTATGTTATGTCGGAGTATGTTATGTTGTATGTCGATGCATCCTTTGTAACATAGTCTCACACACAAAGCGTATATGGACATAGAATATATCACGTATGCTTTGTTGGTGCATGTTTTGTTACTTTTACTGATTGTTATGTTGGTGTTATGCCGCATATAACTAAATTTGGTGGATTGAGAAACTTATTTTTCTTTTTGTCTTTGCATAATGAGGACGATATCTATTTCAAAAACACTGATTAAATAGTTAGAAAATGGGAGGGTTGACACTCATCAGCGAGACTCAATTTTATTTACAATAAGATACAGTGTATACAGCCAAATAACAAACATCATTTCATTCAACAAGATAATGTCAGGGCAAAAGTACTTATTACATTAAGAAAATTGCGAAATATACTAAAGGCCCATTGGTATCACGTAAGAGGTGGAGAAACTGACTGAATTTGAAATACACCTCATCAACAGAGATATTGCGTTATTGGGCAAATATAAATTATGCCGGTCAACCTGTCTCAAGTCTAAGCTCTGCTAGCGGGCATGAAAACCAGGGAAAGTCACAAAGGATGTTAGGGTGCATCTAGTGATAACTCCAAAGGAGTTCGGTAATAATAAAAAGGACTTCCGATTTACTATTCCATATATTCTAAAATATATAGATTTTTACAAAACTTGATACATTTTGTTAAATGATTTCGGTATCATTTTTAATTCACACTATAATAGTGTATATTCTGTCAATTTCTATTCTTTGCTATATTAGCATTGTATGTATATTCCACTTCATAGTGTTTTAATCCTAAGTCCTAAGTAATTCTTATGTGATATACAAGTATTCATTCACTATTAACTATGTCTTTTATTTACCTATTCTGAATACTACTTATCTGTGATCACGTTTAATGCTTTTCATATATTAACACCATTTATTATATATATATATCCCGGGGCCTTTGTACATGTAGGTAGGGGACTCCCAATCACTTAGAAACCTGGGATATGTATACTTTCTTTTTCTGTGATGATTTATTAATATATGTGATTATCTCCCTTTACTTGTAATATAATATGTTATTGTTATTTTTACATATGTTTGTCGCAATAATAGCTCTCAAGAGCTAATGTTCCTTGTTTACCCGTATGCGACGTTAAATAAAGTTTCTTGTTTCTTGTTTCTTGTATCCTGCTATTCAATTGGATGAAGCCTCCAATTTCAAAAGTACATGTATTTGTGCATCTAAAAAGATATGAGAAACACTAAACAACAGAACATTTTGCAAAATATATGCCCAATTTTTTGTATTTTCGTATCTAAAATTAATTCAGAACACTAAACAATAAAATGTTGTGTAACATACCAAAGTTGTGGCCATGGGTGATATTTTTGTTAAATGGCTAACCCCTGTATAATGATATGTAAAAAATAAATAAAAATAAAACTGTACTAAAATTGGTATAAGCATGATGAAGTGGGCTATGTGAGCTTCACATTTGTAAAAAAAAAAGAAGATTTTTTTGGTTCGAGAATAAAATTTAGGCCATAATCCTAAAAGGTGCGTGCACATGAAAAGCTAGCTTTACAGGAGGTAAAATTTGGACAACAGCACACGACGCAAAATTGCAAAAAAATCAAGTTTTACAACTTTACTGGGACCCAGATAATACTGCAACCAGGTAGGTAATCTTTAATTTCAGGCAGAGCTTAGGAAAAAAAATACTAGTTGCGGGGGTCAAATTTTGGGTTAAAAGTAGCAATTTTTGGCATTTTTTGGTAATTTGTGATGTGGTAACTATGGTTTTCACACAAGTGACATACATAGAAAAAAGAGGTTTATACACTTCTCAGTACTTTATATGTATTGTAAATGTAATGCAGTTTACAAATATATATACATGTATACATGTGTTGAGTAGGGTAAATCCGCTGTGTTTACATTTCCTCGACATGTGCCTTGTTTATCAGAGTCGAGCCATTTCTACTGTATACTGCTACCTGAACAGTTCAAAACAAAACAGAATTTACTAAATTACTGTTCAGTAAAAAGGAAACGTTCAACGGGAGGTAACTCTTATGTAATAATACAAGCTTAGATAGAACGCTTTTTACTGTTGCCGTCTCTTTACGAGATATGTCATACTTAAGAAAATGTGGTGTTATAACGTAAAGGGACATGCAAACATTTCTTGGAAACGTTTCCTTTCATTCCAAATCGATTTTATTTTAAACAAAAGAGCAGCGTTCACGAGCACGTCACCGATAAAGTTTAGAAGATCACTCAGCTTTAATTACATAAGTGTTTTTCATTTCGGCACAACAACTTCAAAGGCAGAGGGGAGGTAACTGGTATTTTTTTCTTACAATGACAATGACAATTGTTTTATTCTCATCGGCAATACAGTGTAGAGAATACATATATACAAATGGGTGGCAATAATACATGGTGGAACAGGATGGACGTTAGTATTGTAAATTAATTATGTCATTAATATTGGTAATAAATTTAGCCAATGATGTCAATTCATGTTGTGTTACATAATTGAATAATGTATGATATTTAAATGTGTTTGGTCTTTCATAATAATATCTGGACATATGTTTTCGCCTACTATTGAGAATTGGTTGATGTGTACATGTAAACAGATAATGAAATTCGTCGCCAATTTCTCTTAAATAACATTAACTACATAATCTATTTGCACGTGGTATATTGAACCACCTACCACTTTCAATTGGTAACTTAGTATTACATGTTCTAAACTTACAATACGCTTTGGCTAGATTCGGAGGGAGTTCTAGTAAGTACTTTTCTAAACAAAGTTCGTATTTATATATTCTATAATTGGTTCCTTTCGGAGAAGTATACATTTTATTTCTCCAGTTTGATATAAATTTTCCTTTTAGTTTATAAAATATGGTACTTTACATGTACACACTCGTCAATGTACAAGGTGAAAACGGACAACTCGCTGTTTGGATGTTTTGTGTTGCTGAGGAATTTGAAGCGTCATTCACTTGAGGATAAAAGCATGTATTCACCATGGTATTTGATCAAATCAAATGTACTACATGTATTTGATTTGTATTTTTTGCGTGTGGTCCAAAATAGTGATATAAATGTTTGTACTGTTCGAGAAAAATATTAATTATACAATAGACACTTGTTGATCCCCTGGATTCAAATACAGTGTATGACAACGTTACGTCTGCATCATCATCAAAGATCATTTCTAATTTCTTTAAACGTAAAAAGAAACGCCAATTTTTATACTTGAATTTGATGACTTTACACTTCTTTGTCGGAATAGGCATGTTTAGGAATTTTATGATTTTGAGTGATTTTGTTCAACTTACAAGTTATTCAGGGAGCATACTCTAAATATTTCCATTTTATTTTTCGACGATATCTAACTCATTTTCTGTCTTATCAGTAGCGATTCCACTCCTTTTTGTGTCAGAAATTCTGAAAAAAGAGCTCAAATGTATTGAGGGGGATGGGAGAGGGTAGGCACCCCCTTTGTATAATTAGATCGTAAACTTTCCATGCACATAGTTTACAGTCAAGCTACGCGCCAGGCTAGAATGATGACGAGCAGTGTGAGGGCGAAGTCAATATTCAGCATAAACAGTGGGTTTACAATGTACTTTACGGGATATTGGCCACGATTTCTCATAATTTCATATGTAATGATACATCTGAATATGAGTGAGTGACAGCGCGTATCTCTCAATCTATAAAACACATGAACGAAGTGCAATTTCCTCTGGAAAGTGAATATTTTAAATGGTCGAAAAAGGGCAAAGTTCATGACTGTTTACATGGAAATATTGTGAGTCCCATTAATCGTTAGCTTTAATTAATTCCAACCGTCTTATAAATGTTTAGCTTCGGATTTAGGAATGCTACATGTATCCCAGATGTAGCACTCGGTGAGATAATACATGTTGGATTGGAATATATAATAAACTATTTATAACAAAATCAACATTTTTTCTAGATAATAATTTTTATTGAAATATGAAATATGTAAGGATCATCCTTAAGGATTTTTTCTGCACATTGATATTGACGAGGATAAAGGCAGCTAAACACGATAGTACAGGACCGTTTATTATACCCGCTGACCTATATAATCCCGTGCTTTATACAGTATAGTCTTTAGGTCCGCCCCGTCCTGTCAACAGGATGTGGTATTGATTTTTGCTATCGGTTGGAATTCCCGCTAATTTTACCATACCGCGTCTGGCGTTTCACTAAGCGTCACGGCTGAAATCACAGTGTTCAGACCAAGAAGTAGGTCACGTTCATGTTTATGATATCTGAGGACAGGACGGACAGGTATCTTGGACCATGGTTATTCTAAATCACGTGATAAGAATGGTCGTATCAGCCCTATCCCTATATCAGGTACGTATACATGTGCCGTATACACATATGTACATGTTGTAAACGTACAGACACAATATAATGCAGACAACACACCGGTACAAATATGTACCATTGATAACGCGATGTCTGAATATATATAAATTTGAATGGTTCGTGTTGACACACACATTACGTACGCGTGTGTTGGTTGATAAATTGTATCCCCTGTTCTGTTTTTGTTGTCGATGCAACACATATGTCGATTGCTGTCTGTGTTACATAGTGAGTTAACACTGTGCCTGGTTTACCGGCAATAACAATATGTAGTCCTGTCTATGTTTCACAGTGGTGTTGCCCCACTAAAAAATCGTCTGTTCATGCATACGTCTGTGTTTCAGAGATGTGAACGTAACCGTTACGCATTATGGATAATTAATTACAGCACAAGCTTGATACATATGACTATAATAATACAATATTTATATAGCTGATGTCCAATTCAGCCATATCTATAAATACATACATGTATATATACAGTAGACTAGAGCTACAGTAAGTAGTCCGACATTATTATGCATACATGCGTATACGAAAACCCAATAGGAAATGTTAATCCACACCTGGGTCCTGAGGAAATATGACAGAGATTTTGTTCTACCTGGTTTCAATAGGGGCCTGCGCCTTATGACTTTCGGAAAATGTAACTAACAAAAGACATGCTTTTATATGCTTTTTTTTTTAGAGTTGTCTATCTTTACTTACTTTTTACTTTCTTTTAAGTAGAACAGAACGAATCAATTTCTTGGTATGCCCACCCAAATCAATAAGCAATACATTTGATTAAAACTATGCCAAAGAATGATTAATATAATTTGGAGAAAAATCTGTTTAATAATTGCTGTTGAATGAATAAAGGACATCATATATATGTTTGACGATATATCGATTAAGATGTTAAACATGTTTGTTTAAAACAACATGGGGAGAACAGAACACTGATACGTTACTGACATGGTTGTTATATCGATATATAGTCTAAATTCCCGGTCCATCCTGAAACATCGAGTCGAACTTCAAATTTTGTTACTGTCACGGGGTTTTAACAGGTAAATATGCCTTATGAATTAACATGTTCTGTCTGTTTCTATTTATAAATCGGCGCGCGGCGTGAAAACTAGAAAAAAATTGAAGCGCATTTTAGTAGTGACGGCAACCATCTTGGAAACTGCTGGCGATTCAATTTCGTTACATTATTTGATACCGTACCAAATCGGTACAATTGGTACGAGCAGAAGGGTTTTTAACATAAGCCGATAAAATAATCACGTATTGAAAGAACGACGCCGTCTTGCAATGACGTTGCTATGACTATGACGTAATGTTTTTTTTGACGTAACGATATGTTTGTTTCTATTATTTTCATATCCCCCTTTAAATTTGTATTTACAGCCGTTAAATTGGCTCCTTATAAGCGCTATACACCTATACTATGATTTTCCTATACCATTGGATTGATATCCTTAAAGCAATTCTGTCCCTTTTTATACAATATTTCTATAACGATAGAGGGCAGGGGTATATATGAAATAGGGGTCACGTTTTAGTATAGGAAACACACGACTGAAAATAGTCACAATTATAATTGCGATTCCAACAGTCCGATATCAAGCTAATACCCTACGACATCTGCTTCTACCCTTTTCAAATTTGTGTGCATATTTTCTTTTGAATATAGTAAATACCACAACATTAAATATTATTTTATTATATTAATCGTGTTTATTTTTGGTATCATTTCAGAGTAATGCTTTGTGGCGTGATCTAACACTAAGCGACGAAGGGAGCTCAGAATGTCCAGGGGTGTATAACCAGATAGAGTTCTCGTCCAATTGCACTGTATCATGTCCGCGGGCTGCACCACTACAGTTCCAACAGCTATGCCTTGCGTTTTGCCCATATGGGTACCAATACAATTCTCCCGATACGTGTAGTAATGCAACAGGACTTATTGATGATAAGTCATCGAACCACTGTCAGGTGGTTACATGCCCCAGTGATAAGCCGTTATGTTACGACACACAGTGTTTGTCCGTTTGTCCGAATGGAACTCTCCCTGATGAAGGCAATTGCATGCATGATTGTTCAGACACATCTCCGCTTGTCCTGAATGACTCTTGTGTGTCGAGCTGTCCCGCGGACAGCCCATATAACGAATATGGACATTGTGTGTCAGCTTGTTCTACGAGATATTTCCTCCACGGCCAGACCTGTTTCAGAACATGTCCCCAACACACGCACCAGTATCTTTCTACGTGCGTCGATGTCTGTCCACCTGAAGCCCCGAAATCTCTCGGAGTTTGGAATATTAGTCTCTGCGTCACTTCCTGTCCCGAGTTTACATCCACCAATGGCAGCAAGTGTGAAGTTCAATGTCCTAATGGACAGGACTATCTATGGAACGGCTCGTGTGTCAGGGAATGCCCTGTGATAGCTCCGTATGTATATGTATTAACTCGCCGCCTCCCACCGTACGTGATACCAATATGTACACCTGTGTGTCCTGATCACTATTATATCGAAGCAAATAACTGTGTACCAACATGTTCACCCGCCAGGTATCTAATGAACTCCACTTGTGAAGCTAGCTGTCCGGAAACTCATCCATATTTTACTGGAAAATCTCCACCTTTTACATGTGTTCAGAGCTGTAACCGTAAGCAAATTCTAAATATAGACCATTGTGTTAAATCATGTCCTATTGGTCGTCTTATATTCAATAGGACATGCGTAGACGATTGCCCGGTGACACATATCTACAAAGTTAATCAGACGTGTTTGTCTCGTTGTCCATCGCCAATGGTGGTATACAACGGAAGTTGTCAAAGCTCGTGTCCTAGCATTGCCAGGTATTCATACAATGGACAATGTATTAGCGTGTGCCCGAATTCGCATCCATCTTTCCGTCGAACTCAGTCTGGTAACGTTGTATGTCAAACAACTGCGATTTGCCCAGAAGGAGAATTCACGTGGAATAATCAATGTTTTTATCAATGTCCCGATAACACTGTTTTCATCAATTCGACATGTCTGCGAAAATGCCCTTTGTCTCATAAGCTTAAATACCGAAGTGACAAGCATCGATCAGTCCTGTCAATGGAATGTGTTGCAGAATGTGCTGAAAATACATTTATGAAAGAGGATTTCTGTTTTGATCATTGCGATCCGCCATTAGTAGGGTTCCCGGATAATAACACGTGTTTAGAGCGCTGCCCAGACTCTCATAAATGGCGTTCTGTTACTACTACAAATTCCAAGCAATTGGCTTTTACTTGTGTTGCTAACTGTTCTGCACCGCGTTTAGTCGATAATGATAAGTGTCATTTCACATGTCCAGACTCTAAACCGTTCGCTGTGAATCAAACTTGTTTAAAGAGTTGTCCAAACGATTCAAGTTTAAGGACACCGTTTGGGAACGGTATGACTTGTTCAAAAACATGCCCTGAAACCTACATACAGGAAAATGATACTTGTGTATTAAAATGTTCACATGGTAAAGTTATAATAAACAAAGTATGTGTGGATGTTACAAATTGTGCTAATGAATACCAATTTATCGAGTATTCACCCCATGGTACTATATGCCGGAAGCGTTGCCTAGACAACCAGTTCGTTGATAACATCCAGTGTGTGACGTCATGTCCGTCATTTTCTGTTGGGCAATTATGTGTTGAGACGTGTCCAAGCGATCAAAAGTTTACACGAGGAGAGCACAATTCATCAGACGGTCATGCTGATAGAAAATGTTACGAAGAATGCCCCAGCAAGACATACGCGAATGGGACCAAGTGCATGGCCATTGATTGTCCAATGAAATATCTTGCTGATTCTCGAACATGTGTGTCTTCATGTACTATCTCCCATCCGTACTTAGAGGAACTCTTCAAGTGCGTGAATAAGTGTTCAGACGGTTACATAATAATGGGAAGAACTTGTATAAGAAAGAGTTTTTGTCTCAAGGATAAAGGTTTCTTTGTGTATGATAAACAATGTGTGAATTCGTGCCCCACTGGTACCTTCGTGAATTATATCCGTGACGGCTGTATTTTATCTAGTATAGTATACCTTTTGATAGTAACTGGAGTGATCTGTACTGTGTTGTTAACTTCTGGTGCGGTTTGGTTCTACTACAGCAAGAAAAGAAAGAATTGCAAGACCTGTTTCTCCATGATGCAGGTAAGTTGTAACTGTAGAAAACGTGCATTTTTCCCGCAAAACATGGCTATTTTGGAGAGTTGTTTTGTCAAATGTTTCATGAATCGACAGAAACCACCCAGAAAGATAACATGATTATCATTGTATTTTTTTCTATCAAAAGTATTTCATCTGTGTGTTGCAAGTTTATCTTTCAAGATACATGTGTAAGGCTATGCTGGTGGATTGTATAGTCCCCGAGGCCAGCAATAACGTTGACAACCACAGTGATTTGATTCATGTAGTGGCGTGGTTCATAATATACACATTTCACTAATTAATATCATATTGACCAGTTCTCCTCTAAACTCATCTAAATGGTGAAATTCATAATGTAAGTGATATTTTGTACCTCCCCTACTGTTTCAGCAGTAGTGTAAACCAGTTTTGATTTCCAGTTTTTAGCCCTTAGCATTAATGATGAGTCCTAGAAGGACGAAACAGCTGATGATGAAGTTCTATTTATATTTTGCTGTATCTATTACCTGTTTGTTTGTGTGTTATGTTCATCTTTAGCCCGAGGTTCCTCTGGCCCTAACACCAGACTTAGACATTTTGACATATGCCAGAGCGCACTGCTATTTGAAAACATGGAATTCTCCAACACCATTTGGTATCGGAGAGTTGTGAGGTGTTGACAAGAAAAATCTACTATGACACAACACAACACATCCCTCACATATATATATAAATTGATTATTTATTAATCCAAATTAGCTCTTATTATTACCAACAGCTACCAAATGCCGTCAGTAGAGTCCTCGATTTTCAATCGTTCAAAATTGCCCACCTGAGCGAACGCCATTTTTGTAGGTCATGGGGTGACTAATCAACAAACCGTACTGATCCGGACCGAAAACGGAAGATATCATTCTTGTTTAGAAGATGTCCGGACCGCGTCTTTTTTGTTGATTAGTCACTCCCCGTTACCAAACGGTTTCTGAGAATTCAACATTTTCAAATAGCAATGCGCTCTGGCCCCACACACCAGACATCTATATGTCAACATGTCTAAGTCTGGTGTTAGGGCCAGATGAAACTCGGGACTAGTTCATCCTCTAATCGAACATATCCTACCGGATTCGCTGTTTCCACGCTTCGTGAAGTATGTTTTAACAATGTAAGGTAAGAGTGGAATTCAATTGATTTTCTTAAATCATTTAATTATTATTTTCAGGGGCGATATGCCAGGGACATTCCGCTGTTAACGGCAGAATCACTGACAGAAGATGATACACTGGCAGAAACAGGAAACGACCCTGAAAGGACGAGGGACGTGGTTCTATGAACAGTGTTAAAGTCCAGGGAAATTACAGGGATGGCACGTATATTACAATTATACAATTGTGTAAGTTGGGTTTGTGTCATTTGCAAACCTTATTTATGTACGTTGGTAAATTGTAAATCTTCGACATGAAAGGACCACAGGAAAAACCATTAACCAACGATTAAGGAAATTGAAAGTTTGTTCGGCAAAATTAAAAGCGTTTTCTTCACCTTAGGTGGCCATCCGTCTTCGACACCAGGGGTCACGCTCACTTTTCTCTCTGCATCCCTGAATATGGCATAGCAAAATCGAAGGTTCTATCAAAAGAATTTGGTGGTCGCGTAACGGTAAAAGTGACTGGCTTGGAAGTCGGGTGTCGCTCCTTTGTAATCTTCAAAAGATAGGTACAGTATCAGACCAACGATCGGTCAGGATTTTATTTTACCAGATACCAATCAAATAGCTAGCCGCGTGCCTTAAATGTTGATATGGCACACTCCAGGGGTGCAGAGAGCGAACGTGAGCGTAACCCCTGGAGTATCGAGGATGGTGGCCATCATGCTTTAAAAAAAACTGTATAGGTCAACACTAAACGACCTTCATTTACAATTTAATTTATGACAACGATAGAGAATGTGAACTCTTAAACAACTATTGTACATGTACAAATCGGTGATATAGTATATTTAGTTTGTGGAGTACACGGCAGTGGTGAAGTTTTCATCTCTTATAGAGAAATCGTGAGGTATATATCAGCAAACGGTTAAGTGATTGTGAAGTACACATATTTGTTATTGTAATTGTGAAGAACGCATATTTGTTAGAGTAATTGTTAAGTATACATATTGAATAGAGTATTTGTAAAGGACATATCAGCGTTAGAGTAAGTGTGAAGTACATATTTGTGTAAGAGTAATTGTTAAAAACACATTATTTGTGAGAATAATCGTGAAGTACATATCAGTGTTAGAGTAATTGTTTAGTACAAATATTTGTAAAAGTAATTGTGAAGTGTGAAGTACATATCGGTGTTAGAGTAATTGTGAAGTGTGAAGTATATATCGGTGTTAGAGTAATTGTGAAGTACATATCGGTGTTAGAGTAATTGTGAAGTACACATTATTTGATAGTAATTGTGAATTACACATTATTTGATAGTAATTGTGAAGTACACATTGTTTGATAGTAATTGTGAAGGACCCATATTTGTTAGAATAATTGTGAAGTAAACATATTTGGTTAAGTACTTGTGAAGTATACATCAGTGTTGGAGTAAGTGTGAAGTACACATTATTTGTAAGAGTAATTGTGAAGTACACATCATTTGTTGGTGTAATTGTGAAGGACACATATTTGTTAAAATAATTGTGAAGTACACATCAGTGTTAAAATAGGTGTGAAGTTCATATAGCTGTTAAAGTAATTGTAAAGTATACAATATTTATTAGAATAATTGTGAAATACATATATTTGTTAGAGTAGCTGTGAAGTACATATCGGTGTAAGAGTAATTGTAAAGTACACATATTTGTTATAGTAATTGTGAAGTACACATCATTTGTTGGTGTATTTGTGAAGTACACATATTTGTTAAAATAATTGTGAAGTACACATCAGTGTTAAAATAGGTTTGAAGTTCATATAGCTGTTAAAGTAATTGTAAAGTATACAATATTTATTAGAATAATTGTGAAATACATATATTTGTTAGAGTAGCTGTGAAGTACATATCGGTGTAAGAGTAATTGTAAAGTACACATATTTGTTATAGTAATTGTGAAATACATTTTTTTGTTATAGTATACTGTACATAGATTTGTTTTATCGGATAAATAAACCCTTATTTCTGTATTTGGATTTTAAAGGTTAAAACATCTGCAGACTTTGCTTGAAAGATATGATAATGTAAATAGAATATACATTTTCATTTCAGTAATAATTACCATAACTTTAGTATGCATATACAATACCTACACCCATCTTTGTAGCCCAAAAACAAAAGATTCAAATATCCCTACCTCCCTANGGAGAATAGCATGATAGGTTATCTGTCACTTGTTGTTATACATGTACAATACAAATACAGCAGTGTTTGTTCAAATGCTTATTTTGTATTTTGTTGTTGTTATTTTTACATGACATAGAGGTCGTTTTAGCTCATTTACCGACATTTGAAGGCATATGTCGGAGAAATTATGTGTTCTTTTACAGTATCACATGTATGATTTTGTAAAAAGTCTGGAAATATTGATATTATATTAATTGTTGAAAGGTTAAACTTACATGTGAATGCATCCGAAAATGTGGTGATATAATTATACAAATGTCAAAAGTGAAGTGCTCTGCGCAATACATCTGTTTCGTCCCTATAGGGCATCGGTGATGATAGGGGTAAAAAAGATAGACACCTGAATGGGTCTGAACTATTGTTAAACTAAAGGGGAGGTACATGTGCGTAAAACAGTTAGTTAAACGAATTTGAAAAAGTACTAATTTCAAATCAATTATGAGTTAAGTGAGTATCTTTTGCACCATCTCACTGCAGAAAAGAGATAGATGTGGCTAAGAGATAAGTTTGCCTATCAAGACTACGGCACAGCTCGGGGACTACGAAATCCACCCGCTGAGTCTTCCACAAAACATAGGTTACAACTTGTCTGTCTTCTTTTATGATGTTGAGTTATTGGGAAGTTTCATCACGAGATTTGTAGAAATCTGCAATTATTCCCAGCAGTGAGATACCTACACTTTAACAAACAGGTTATACACCAATTTGATTGATGATGTAATTGTAAATTTCAATATTTGGACGTGTCCTTATTTAATATCTAGCATATGAAATAGACATTTCAAAAGTATTTTTATATATACAATGTATATTACTTATTAGCATACATCATAACAAAAACAGTGGTTAATGTTTATCAACGGTGAAGTGAATGGTCCTTATTCACAGGACTTCGGTTTCTTTATGAGTTTCACGCACTTGCCTCTCTATTTTCATAGTAGTGAAACCCAACATCGAATCCGAATGTTTGGCTCATATCATCACCGAGTTGATTTAAACATATTTTATTGCAAATAAATATTTAAAAATTTACTGGACACAAGTTTTCACAACTTATCACAGTCCTTTTCTTCAAATACATGTATATAAACAATAACTTGATAAGGTAATTTACGCAATATATATATATTATGTTTGTATATGGAAATAGAAAATTGAGAGGAAGAAAAGATGGATAGTGTAACGAAGTAAAGGATAGTAACACAGGTAGAGTCGGAGAAAAAAGAATGATAGAGAGAGAAAGATGATCATATTCAGCCAAACCTGTTGCATTTGCTGATATAATTGTGGACAGATTTTGCAGGTGAGGTATTTTCATCATTGTTGAATTAAGGATCGCCATATAGGAGCAAGTCTAAAGTTAAATCATCACGAAAGGTTGTAGCTCTCTTATTAATAGATTACGATGCTGGGTGTATATGGGACAGACACAGAGGAAGTGATATGAGTCTTCACATGGATTACCGCATGCACATTCAGCTGTATAAGATAAATTTGCTCTAAATTGGTGCTCACACGGTTTCACATACGGCAATGAAGTATATTTAATTTACGGGAACCCCATACCAAAAAGCATTTATTATGTAGTTTACCTTTTGATTTTATATTTGTTTTAAATGAACTGAGAGAAACCAAATTCCTTATACATATATCTAGGTCATTCCACATTTTTAGGTCACCTGAGCTTTGCTCAAGTGACCTATTCCAATCGCTTTTCGTCCGTCGTCGTCGGTCGTCCGTCGTCCGTCGTGCGTCGTGCGTAAACTTTTACATTTTCAACTTCTTCTCAAGAACCAGTGGATGGATTTTTTTCAAACTTGGTCAGAATCATCCTTGGTAGATGAGGCTTCAAAATTGTAAAATTGGGATTCCTANGACGTCCGTCGTCCGTCCGTCGTCCGGCGTCAACTTTTTACTTGAAACAACTTCTTCTCAGTAACCAAAAGGCCTAGGGTGATGAAATTTGGCCAGAAGCATGCTGGGATGAAGGGCTAACAAGTTTGTTCAAATAAATGACCTTCATCAATTTTCAAGGTCACAGGGGTCAAAATGTAAAAATCTTTAAGCAACTTCTTCTGAATAACCGAGAGGCCTAGGGTGATGATATTTAGCCAGTAACATGCTAGGGTGAAAGGCTACCAAGTTTGTTCAAATAAATGATTTTGACTTATATTCAAGGTCACAGGGGTCAAATATGTTTAAAACCTTTAAACAATTTCTTCTGAATAACAAAGAGGCCTAGGGTAATGATATTTGGCCAGTAACATGCTGGGTTGAAGGGCTACCAAGTTGTTCAAATAAATGACCTTCATCAATTTTCAAGGTCACAGGAGTCAAATATGTTAAAATCTTTAAACAATTTCTTCTGAATAACCAAGAGACCTAGGATAATGATAGATGGTCAGTAACATGCTGGGATAAAGGTCTACCAACTTTGTTTAAATAAATGACCTTGATTTATATTAAAGGTCAAAGGGTCAAATATGTATGAAACCTTTAAACATCTCCTTCTGAATAACCAAGAGGCATAGGATAATGATATTTGGCCAATAACATGCTGGAATGAAGGGCTACCACGTTTGTTCAAATTAATAACCTCCATCCATTTTCAAGGTCACAGGGGTCAAATATGTATAAAACCTTTAAACAACTTCTTCTGAATAACCAAGAGGCCCAGGATAATGATATTTAGCCAGTAACATGCTGGAATGAAGGGCTACCAAGTTTGTTCAAATGAATGACCTTGAATCATATTCAAGGTCAATGGGGTCAAATATGTTGTAATCATTTAAACATCTCCTTCTGAATAACCAAGAGGCCTAGGGAGATGATATTTGGCCAGTAACATGCTGGGTTGAAGGGTTACCAAGTTTGTTCAAATGAATAACCCTCGCCCTTATTCAAGGTCACCGTGGTCAATATATGTTTAAATCTTTAAATGATTTGTTCTGTATAACCAAAAAGTCCAGGGTAATGCTATTTTGATAGAAGCATGCTGGGTTGGAAGACTATAAACTCTGTTCAACCTAATATCCTTGTTCGACATTCAACGTCACCGTTGTCATATGTTTAAATATTTTAATAGGTTCTTATTAATCAAACACCAATATTCCGCCTGTAGTTGTATTTTAGTCCACTTTTAAGATAACAAGTGTGAAATTAATACCAGGTGAGCGACTCAGGCCCATTGGGCCTCTTGTTTCACACGTTACGATTCTAGTCAATAAGTCAAAGGACAAGCCACTTTGAAAATATAATCTCAGACACAGCAACATAAAGTATGATCAAATGTCACCAAATTACTCATTTATTATTTACAAGACTATCAATTCAAACGATAAAACTTTCATTCCTTAGATAATTTTTATTTGTAAAAGGCGAGTGTTTGACCCGTATCATTAGTACTAATATTAATACACTACCTCTTCAGTGTCCCTTATATAAAAATTGTTTCATTGTCAGGAGCTACGTTATCGCAGCTACATATCATAAGCCAGATTCAAGTTCAGGTCTGCATATAATGGTTCTGGCAGATCCTTAGTCACACAAATTTGAATTCTTGAGACAAACAACTCAACAAGGAAGTATAGGTTCAAAGAGATATTCATTTGGAGTTTAAATTTTAATTCACATTATCATATAATAAGTTCAGCAGGAAAGGTCACAAACATGAGATATAAGGGTTCTTAAAAGTTTCAAACAATGACAAGCAATATATAAAAATTCTTAAGAATAACAAAAACATGGGCCCTGAAATATGTTGGCGGTAATCTTGTTGGAAAATTAAATGAGGGGCAATTGTAATAGGCAAGGTGTTACTGTAGTGAAAAGTATATGTACATTCACGGGGCCAAATCTGTGATCCCAAATGTTGTAGTTTAGTCAGAGTATACTGCTGAGCTAAAAGGGAATCCCTCCAGACATTTAGCTAGAATACATATCCATTATAAAATATAAAAAATAAACTGACTGTTTATTCAGTTTATTCATGGTTAGATCTAAGACGAATGTTTTCCGTCCAACAGAACAAATGGTAAGAATTCCTTAAAAATATTTGACCCATGTGTAGTTGAAATCAGGTCAAAATTCAATATTCTTTTTGCAGTCTCGACAGGGATTCATTTAGGCCATTTTTACTACCTTTTTCCCCATTATCCCCTTTGATATCTTGATATCTACACACCAATTATTTTTTCCGTGTAACTATTGTTTGTGAAAGCCAAAAGAACACATATCCATAGGCACTAAGATATAAGTATCTCTTCTCATACCTTATTATTTTTCCTAATGTAATATTTTCAGTATCATTTTTATCAAAACAAAGCATTTGGTCAAGTTTTAGCCCATACTTCTGTACATGTAGATACGTAACATGCCAGTCACTTTACCTCTTTTTTGCTGAAAGGGTAGTAACTTATAAAAGCTGGATAAATACCCGCTTTATCGCACTTCATGTTAGTAAGCTACCTGGCTACCGATCAGGAAACAAATTTGTTCAAATGAATGACATTGACCCACTCTATGTCAAAACTGTTAAAACCATTAGGTAACTTCTTCTGAATAACCTAGGGACTAAGGTGATGACTGATCCAGTATCATGCTGTGATTGAAGGCTATCATATTCAAATAAATAAACTTGACCCACTTCCAAGGTTGCAGGGATCAAATTTGTGAAAACCTTACAATGACATCTGATAGAGGTGTAAGGTCATATTAAGCATATAGCTTCATGGTGTAAAGTTACATGAAGCAGTCTGTATGAATGCTTTAGACTAACCAACTTTGGAGGAATAATCGGTAAAATTAATTAAAATCTTCCAACATAGATTCATAAGGTATAGAGTAATTATGTCATGC